TTAGCTTATCAGTGTTTATAGGTTTAAGAGTTTCTGATGAAGGTAAATCTAGGAATTCAAAGCTCAGCGGACGCATGCAAACAATTCGGACCCCCCCTTGTCATTTAAAAAAGTTAAATTGTCACTTAATTAATTCAAGTTAAAACAAAAATAAGTCAACTATTAATATAATGAGTCAACACCTACAGATCCCTCAATGCGTTGTTGCAAGCGTTCTTTAACTGCAGAAAGTGTGTCATTCTCCATACAAGAGGCATTGGATTAAACGCCCCAATTGCGACCGCATAGTAAAATGGACTCGCCTATTTTCCATGATTTTTTAATTTTAAAAAAGTTCCGTACGTGGATGACTAGCTACTATCGTGTGTGAAATGAAGCTAGGATATTGAAAATAGATTAAATAGGTTTTGAGAGCGTCATTTGCTTGAAATATGGCGAAGGTTATTCAGTGATTTACACTGTAGTCTCTGTATATCTCTCTGTGTTATTTGTAAAACCTAACTAGGGGCGGATCCAGGATTTTTGAAAGGGGATCATAATTCCTGACAATTGAATCCGCTCGAAGAAACAATATATAGGCGATTTTATAAAAAAACATTTATATAGATAGTGAAAAACATAATTTTTTTTAATTCATTTTTTTTGCAATCAAAAAGGGGGGGTAACCCCTCTACGCCCTCCACTTGGATCCGCTACTGCAAACTCGTGCATTTGTGAAATGTAAGTTATTTGTTCTGTCTCCATTGATTTAAAACCTCTGACGTAGTTTTGATTGTTTTTGAAAAATACATAAACGTATATATCTAAGTACATTTTTATATAGGAAATCTATTATTATAACACTAACTGAAATATCAAGTCAATGTGTTCCGGTTAACGTTCGTGAAGAGGTAATTAATAGAAAATCTTGATCGATTCTTGTCAAACTGTTGTTTGGTAAAAGCCATGAATAGAATGCGGTGACGATATTTGCCATTGACACAACTATATACTTGCACCGAGATGTAAACAACTACAGATTATACCGTACGGTCTTCAATAATGAGCAAAACCCACGTGTGCCGTATAAGAAGTATTAAATGTCTTATTGGACCATTACCGATTCAAATTTATTCATAAACAGAATATACATTGCCATATACAATGCAACTGTTGATAATCTACTTGAATCCTTTGTTAGTCTTGTATCATATTTAATTTTAGTTTCTTGTGTATAATTTGGAGTTTAGTATGGCGTCCATTATCACTGAACTAGTATACATATTTGTTTAGGGGCCAGCTGAAGGACGCCTCCGGGTGCGGGAGTTTCTCGCTGCATTGAAGACCCATTGGTGGCCTTCGGCTGTTGTCTGATCTATGGTCGGGTTGTTGTCTCTTTGACACATTCCCCATTTCCATTCTCAATTTTATCTTTAACAAATTTCTCAACTGTACATAGCACCTGCATGATTGTCTTCACTGTTTATCATATACATAAATGTTTCCTGATTATCAAGTTTGTGGAACTTTTTTGATAGCAGAATCAAAACGTACAATCAATTCTATTCAAATTTATCGGATGAAGTAATGAATTATTTTCACCTTAAACATAGCCATCCGGAACATTTATTACAAATTCTTTCGATCTTTGGAATATCTGAACAACGGTCAAATTCATTTGAAGTCCTTTAAAGCTTTCATACAGACATATAAACAACGAGGAGCAAGTGCGGAGATTTGATTTTAATTAGATTGTCATACAGACATACGTAATTTACATAGTACATGGTCTACTAAAATCAAAGTTCTTTACAGAAGAATTTTCATTTTCACACGAAGAAGTATACAGGCATTTTGAAAGCCAAAATGTGAATTTTAAATAATAAAATTTCCCATTATGCAGAAGCATTGCAGTATTTCTCGTGTATTAATTTGCTAGACATATTAAAATATGTGTACTGTCTGAAAAATTTGAATTCTTGTTTGATTTCAAAAACATGTAATAACTTTGAAACCAATGAGTGCCAATATGTTTTATTAGTTTATGAAACTCCTAGCTGTATTTATAGTCGGCAAATAATTATGATTTAATATTAACAAATCCTTACCAGCGTTTAAGAATGATCGCTCCTCTTGTTTTTGAATGTTTGTCAGATATTCTGAATCATCTGTTTTTATCCATGTAGTGCCATTAAAAATTTTGCCCACTAAGCCCTAATTTTCTTTTCATGATTTTATAACATATAGTTTAAAAAGCCTTATTTGAAAATCTTGTAAAATCCTTGTTATTTTTTCATATTTTTTGAAAGAAAAAAGAAGCCAATGTTAATAGTATGAAAAATCTAGAGAGAATCATTTCCCGCCAAATTTTCAATGGCTTATATCTCAAAAACAAGCACACGGACCCTTCATTTTTTCTGCTTTTTTAGTTCCGTTATTTATATACTATCAATTTATAACAGTCTTTTAAAAAGCTTGTTATTTTGAAATAGAGTAGCGAACATCTTTAACAAGCGACCGCCGTTTACAATATCATAATGCAAGAGGAATCGTCCCAGTTCTGATATAACACGGCGAAATGAATACTCTCTTTGTGGACACTAAATATCAGGGGCGGATCCAGGATTTTTGAAAAGGGGGCGTAATTCCATGAAACTGAACATATACTGCCGAGAGGAGCGAGGCGGAAAAAATGTTAGTCGATTTTATGCCAAAAAATTGATAAACTTTCCAAACAACGGAGGAAGGGGAGGGGTATACCCTCATCGCCCCCTGAACCCGCCACTGAATATGAATTTAGAAAACTTGAGATATTTCTAACACTAAAGATTTTTATAAGGCATTGGCTATTTTGTAGGTTCCGGCAAAATAGCCTCTTAGGTGCTATTTTACCTGCTCTGGCAAAATAGCCTCCTTAGTGCTATTTTGCCGGCTCCGGCAAAATAGCGATTTATATAGAGTTTTGCTATTTTGCAGGTCTTATTTTTAGAATTTTTTTCAGACTTAATGAAATAAATATTTCATTGACATTCGAAAATGGAAGACTACACTTCTTTGTTAAAAATATGCTTGAAATACACGATATGTTCGACTTATATGAAGAGCTAAAACACGTTTTGGAGCACTTTAAAAAGGACAACTATGTGCAACTGTGGAAACATGATTCAAGGATTATTTATGAAAACAAAAGCATCAAACAAAACCTTTAATAACGATATAGTCTATGGTGCAATAAAGTACTGCTGTGTTCATGACGCAAAGACCACAATCTTCATCCACTAGTAAGTCAATTTGTCTCATAATTACATGTAGTATCTTCTATTTTATCGTGCAGCTATATGCATTTACATTTACGAATGGTGGCACGCATTTCAGATGACAAGCAGCACAGCGACTAACATTGTCAAAACTTTCGAAATTGTACGTCATTTCAACATCTTTCAATCGATTTAATCAAGCTTGGTATACTATTGGCACTAACTTGGCAAGTGCGTTCTAATGTAATGCATAATATTACAAACCTATAAAATAACAAATAAAACATAATTGTGTTATTCTCGCTATACTACAAATCATAAACAAACTGATCTAAAAACCCTATCAAACAAGTGTTATGTACAGTTTATGTCTGCAGTGGCTGCATTTTTCTTGTGCAAGACTAAAAAATGCACAAAAGCCAATTAAGGCACTGCATGGTTTTCTAACACTTGTAAAGCATTTTGCAGTTGTTGATGTTTTATTTTGATTTTTAATTAGAACATCAATTTTGATATGCATGCTTTGCTTAAATATCATATTTTTTAAAAAGGCATATTTTTTTGTATGTAAAGTAACTTTTAATTTCAAAACTTAATTATATAAATCGATATATTTTGACGGTGACTGCAAAATAGGGCTAAGGGACTTCTCATTTTTTTACCTGGGAAGGGGCTGGTCAAAATGTAGGGGGGGGGGGGGGGGGGGGGGGGGGGCAAGTTTTTTTTCTGTAAGTGGAAAAGGAAGGTTCAAATTTTTATATAAATTCAAAGTGGGGGGATCGACTTTATCTCTAATGAAACATTTGTGAACTTTTGAATCCTGAAGTATATCCTACATATCATGTGTGTCAAAGGTAAGTGTTTTGCATGTTAAAATTTTGGCATGTTTAATAAAAAGGGGGGTCACATTTTTTTAAATGTTTATTTTTTAAGGGGGGATAAAATAAAAATAGTGAAATATTATGGGAGGGATAAAAAAATTTTTATATGTTTGATTTCAAAATGACCCCCCCCCCCCCCCCCCGGTAAAAAATGATAAGTCCCTAAGGAGGCTATTTTGCCGGAGCCGGTAGAATAGTACCGAAGAGGCATGATTTTGCCGGAGCCGGCAAAATAGCCACTGATTTTTTAGAAATCATGATTTCCAAGGTAAAAGTTGAATAATCAGCCATAATTGTAGTTTATTACAATTAAAGATATATCACCTTCCCAAGCTCAGTTCTGCATTATATAGAGAATGGGTTTTAGCTGGGACTGTTATACTAATAGTTAGTATAATAGTCCCAGGTTTTAGGGTATGATGCAAACTGTGACATTATGTAAAATCAGAGGAATATATCAGATACTACTTAAACAGCATGCATATATATATAATCCATTCTACGTTTATAATAGGTTTTCATAGCCTTTAAGTTATTATAAAATCAGTCAGTCTTAGCCCTGATGTAGTTAAGTCAACCAACTTAGCTATTTATAATCTTATGTTTTATCACAATTTTCGCAAAACTTAATTCAATATATATGAGTGGGTTCGTTTCTCTTCCCCAAATGCTCTTAAAGGATATTCACACCGCCCCCTCCCCTTTTTACTCTTTTGCATTTTTTCGTGCTGTTTATTTGTCAAAAATTGAATTAGCATATAAACTAACGATATAAACTACGTTTATTCCCATAAAACCAATAAGATACATCAAAATAAAAAAAGGCTGATGAGTTATTTATAGAAATTCAAAGACCAATCAAATTAAAGGACATTCGGTACTTTTCTACGCTTATCACATTGTGAAAGTACAAATATGTTGGAGGGTTTGGCTTAGATGACAGTCAACTACAACAGATCGATAAAGAAGCATGCTGAAGATACAAGCAGGAATATTTGTGTTCTTTTATTTCTCAATTGTAAGTATTTTACTTTTTGTGTTTGCTTGTACATAATTGTGCAATAACAAAGCTGTTAAGAAAGGGTACGTGTCACGTCATCGAACAGTCAACGACATATTCTATCAACACGGATAAATTTGTTTTGAAAAAGAAAAGAAAACACTCTAATTTAGTGACATTAAATACTTTGTGTCATTGTTAGTGGCTTGTCATAAAAAATATCCCCGATGTACAATGCCAAGAAAATGGACAAACTTGTCACTTTACTTATTTACTAATAATGTCAAGATTTCAGAGCTGTTTTTGCTATTTAAAAGGTATATGTATTTATATGTACATGAATATTCTCACTTCAGTTTTCACTATTTATGTATTTCATATAAAACCACAATTTTCAAAATGTTATTCTAAGTTAATTTATACTAAATCATAGACTTCAAGAAACACTATATTATTATTAGGTTTATATTAGTTTCTGGTGAAGCATTTTCATATGGACTTGTATATCTACAGATCAGGCCTTTTCTGACCTGAAGACAATTGTCCCTATGATTGTATTTTCATTTATGATCAATGAAACAATATTACCCCTAATAATTCTGTGTCTTTCAACATTATTTTTGTAAAAATCCAACCTTGAATTAAACACTTCCATTTTTTTTGGGTTAAAAATAAGAATAAATATATGAAATATTTATAGCAAAAATTTGTTTGTGACAAATACTTATGTCCATGCACTAAGGACATGAAGGATGTTCTCCAAATCTATATTTTTAATGACATAATGTAATATATTTCAGTGAATTTGTAGAATGTTATTTTAGATATATAATTATCTTAAGGACATTTACAAGTGGAAACACACATATTTATTTTAAGGATATATACCCAGCATGGTAAAGTGAAAAAAAAGCAATTTATCATATAAAGCCATATAAGTGACACTGGACTACTTTTTAGTATTTTTAATTCATTTGCAGCAATTAAGCATTATGAATGTTCCATGATGGGTACAAAAGTGAAATAAAACTGTTGTTAAAATGCAAAGGCTTAATTTGTATCTGTTGCTTTTAAATTTCTGATGATCTTTTCTATTTGTACAACTCATTTTAAAGTTTTCTTTCATGGTAACTCATAGGAATACTTTGTGTAAATCTAGATATATAAAAATCTTTTTATCTATCATTTGAATAATTGCAAAGGTTTGCCAATCTTCAGAGAGTTGAAAGGTACATGAAATTGTCCAAGGCAAAAAGAAAATAATTTTTGAAATGAATTGATTACCAATAACAGTCGTTGACTGACAGTAATGTTTTATTATAAATGAACAATAAATGGTCATAATGCTTTAGCCTATAGGCATTATATCTATACAGCATGTACAGTACAGTTCAATTTAATCATTCAAAACAATTGTCATTTAAGACAGGTCAATAATCATGGAGAGTATGCAGTTTTTTCTTGAGGGAAATATCGCTGTGATTTAGCCATTTTGTGCTATGGTGGTGTAAAGCAAACATTATTCTATCAATTTTTTGTTTATTACCTGTCGAGGTGTTTTTATTACTTAACATATAAATGTGGTAGTGAAATATCAGATTGAAAGCATTACTTTTTAATTAGATTTTTTAAAACTATTGTTTTTGTCATTATATCTTATATTCAGAAACTCATTATACAATATTAAGACTAATAGTTAGGTTGTTGCAATATAATCAGAATGTTAATTTTAAAGCAAAATATACACTTTTAAAAAATGCTCTTTTTCTTTTGAAATTTTGACATTATTTTACTTTTAAGCATGCAGTTTAAGTATTAATTTTTTTATAAATAATTTAAATAATATTTATTTGCAGGAAGACATTAAAGTACAATAAATAGTTATGGCAATACAGATATAACATTACAATATACAAAATGTACTAAGTCAGGAGCCTGTAATTCAGTGCTTGTCGTTTGTTTTTGGGTATCATATTTGTTTTTCTTTCATTATTTTGTACATTAATTAGGCTGTTAGTTTTCTCGTTTGAATTGTTTTACATTTGTCATTTCAGGGCCTTTTATAGCTGACTATGCGGTATGGGTTTTATTCATTGTTGAAGGCCTTACAGTACCTATAGTTGTTAATTTCTGTGTCATTTGGTCTCTTGTGTAGAGTTGCCTCGCTGGCAATTATACCACATCTTGTTATTTTTATAAATACTAAGCATAATTTCTTATAAAAAAAGCTAAATGATACATATGGAATATAATCAAGTGTCGGATTAAGCTTGCATACTTCCTGTTTTTGTTAGACATGTATTAAAAAACGTGCAGTTAATTTTAGAATTATTGCTGAATTGTGATTTATATATATATATATTTATCTTTATAAAAGGTTAAAAGTAGGCATAAGTTTACATGGTTTAACAAAATCTCTATATTCTCTTATCTAATTTCAAAACCTGTAAGTTACACCATTTGATAGCTCAATTATCAAATGGTGTAACTTTCATATTGAAATGAGATCCTATTGTTAATAGGATCTCATTTCAATATGGCTATTTCACTATGATGTAGAGTATATGGAGTAGACAAATGATCACAGATTAACATTTATAAACATGATGAAGAAACAAATAATTATTCATTTACTGAATTCATAGCTTCAGAAAAACAATTACAGAATGTTAGGGGCATTATTTTGTTCCCAGCTGCTATATACATTGTAAGGCCAAAACTCCTATAAGGATTTTTGTTTAAGATTTCACTACCTATGCTATTTATTATTCCTTGAAGTACCTACCATTCAGTTGCTACTGGCTTTTAGTAAATTGTGATATGGAACTACAGGTTTTCTCATACTAAAAGTCATGAAGGTATGAAAATTGATCAAAATAAAACAAAATCCCAAGTAACTTCCCCTAAACACACATATATTTTTCTTTGGTCTATAGTGTTTAACTATTTTTGCTTATGATCTATATTAATCCAAGCTTTTGAGTTATTGACTTTGGAGAGTATTTTGCTCTGAAAGACTGTCTATTTGTTTCTATAAATATTTTTTTGTTTATTCTGTGCTTTTTGTCCATTATTTTCTTTTCTGTTAACCCCAGCTTCCAGACCCTCATGTATTATTGATAAAGCTGAAGAAATAAAAGCATTTGATACCGTAAAATGTTGTCAGACAAAAATTTAAACCAAGTGAAATTTTGTTCAGTGCTATCTTGTACTCCGGATTTTTGTACATGTGAATTTTTACATTTGCTAAAATTCAGATACCAGATCCAATGGTATAATTCAGCATTTGTTAAAATTTGTCAAGCACAATATATTTTGTGTTTAATTTCATACTATTTGCTTTTCATTAATAAAATGTCACTGGAAAATAAAACAACCACAAAAACTTCTCTATTTACCATAGCATTTCCCCAATACTGTAAAATATATAGAGAAATATGGATTTTATATTCCCACGATAAAACACCTCTGTAATGTGTAAGATAGGAGAATTAAAGTCTAATTGTTACTATCTGTTTACTGCATCACATTTCCCATCAAGGATGATTAAAAAACAAGAGAAATAAATATACTGTAAAAGACAAGTCATGTCCGATACTACCTGATTAGGAGTTCCTGATTAGGTTTCAGAGATAAGAAATAAATTTCGTCTCATGTCAGTTCAGTTCTTATCTTTTACTGGTATTGATCATTTATAGGTCAGGAAAAAATTAATTAGTTTCCAATCCAGTTTTCATTAACAGCATCTTTGATAATTAACTGTAACTAGAAAAATAATCATATCCTGTCTTTGATTTGAAAATAATTGATATTAACGCTTGTAGCTTAGACTGTCATTGGCCGTAAATTACATTCATGTTTTTGCATATGAAACAATCCATATTCCTTATTCAACATTTTCGTTAAGGATTATTTTATAGGAACAAATGCAGGGTTTTGTCATTACCAATTGTTTACAACTCATCAAGATTTGATGAGGGGATAATGGTGTTTTAATCGTGTTAGGTGTCTTCAGTTGACAGAGAATTCTTTTTACTAGCTTAGCTTAAAAAAATAACGCTATTGATTTTGTGTTTCTATGAAAATGATAGTCAGCAAGATGATAGCTGACTTTGGTTATGAAGTTCGAATAATTTTATTTAACACTTTCACTGTGTATGGTTATTTACACCATAATGCCGTTAAATGTTATTGAATATCCTGCATTTATCATGCTTTTACCATAAAACTATCAAATTGCTGTAGCAGAACCTCTTCTTAAATGATTGAAATACATCATAATTTTGAATAAACCTAGTATTATGGAGTAATTAGACTGTAGATTCAGAAATTTTCAAGATTCTATCATTATTGCAAAAAATGCCACACTCAACGGGAAAGATGTTGCAAAAATAAAAACTGGCATTTTAAGCTTTGATAGCATTATTTGTATGAAACAGCTACTGAAATAGTTAAACATTTTTGTCAGTTGTCAAAAATATCGCAAGCAAAATTTTCTTGATTTATAGTACATCTCATCATGATAACACCTTTAGGGGTATATTACTAATGATAAGTATATATTTTGTTACATATTGCCTTTCTTTCCAGCATTACCTTGTACCATGGCTTTTATGTGTTTTATCAATTTGAAAAATGAAATTTTATTTTTCAAAGACTATATTTTCCTCAGTTTAACAAGTATATAACCCTCTTATTTTAACTTCAATTAATGAATAATTCTTGTTTGATTTGCATATATATATATATATATGTATATATTTACAAATGCTTAAATGTTTTTAGTCAGAATTTTTCCCTTGGTTTACACAGCAATAGGCCATGCTGCCAAAGCTATTTTTGTAACCTATGTAAACACTTAAGTCCATTTTACTGTGCTATATTCATAGGGAATACTGGGGCTCTTAGAAAAATGAAATTGAAAGAAATGTAAAAAATGTTTGGGTTAAGAAGTATAATGATTAAATACAGTTTTCTTAAAGGGACACCAGCTATGAGATATGAAAAAATAGAATAAG